CCCCTCTGACTGGCAACTTGCCACTCAAAGCCACCTTCTCTGGGAAGCAGCCCAGACCAAGGACTGAGGACGAACAGCCTGCTTCAGGTGCCAGGAGCGACAACAGATGCAGCAGCTCACTGGGAAGGATTTTAGGAACAGGTTTACCAGGAGCTGTGACTGAAATCAGGAGTAGCAGTAGCAATGGCCCCAATGCAAGGAGTAATACAGCCCCTCAGCCACTCCGAGCCCACCCAAGCCCTGACATGATGCTGCCCAACTCACAGCGCAGAGCCGCTCAGCAGGGAGACCCTTCCTGTGCCCCCGCAACTGGGCACGAGCCCACTGAAGCTGCAAGGCGCAGGCAGGCAGGCAGGCAGAGGGCTGCCACCTCGCCGGGACGATGGCAAAGCCAGCCAGCTGCCCACCCACAGGGTGCCAAAATAAACCCAGGCAGCAGCAGCAACATGGATTCAAGAACAGTCTGTGCAGCCAGAAGAGGGATCAGCAGGAAGGGAGGGGAGGGATGAGCCCTTCTGTGCGACATGGATCCAACCCAGCACCTCCGTCCTGCGCCGGGCAGGTGGGTAAACCCAGGTCTCACACAGACACCTGGACCTCACCTTCTTCTGCAACAGCAGAGCACGTGCAGGAGAGCACCAAGGGCTTACATACGCCTAAGCAAACACTCATTTAAGAAACAGGTTCCAGTAGGATTGTATCTATGAAGTCTCTCTTCTCTATTAGTGACCCTGAAAAAGCAGTAACCAATTCAGCCAGCAGACACTGTACATCCATCCATCCCTCCCTCCACTCAGTGCTCCAACAGCAACTCCCAACTACTGTTCATCTGCTTTCCAAATTACCAGCCCAGCTTTGTCCTCATCTTCTGAAGCCCCACTCCAAGGTCCTCCAGCTCTAGGAGGGACTTGCCAGTGGTATTTAAGGAGTTTGTGTCTCTTGATGGAGAAGCTACAACACACACCAAACTGAGCTGCATCATGCACAGCACATTTGCCTCCAGACAAGAATGAGAAGTCTGTGTCTTTCTTCTGATACCCTGAAGGATGACCTCCCATCACCTTGTAGTGAAGGTTTCACATGATGCTGAAGTCTTAGAAATCACTACGAAATAACTAAGGTGCTGTTCCAGAGGGGACAAGCAGCACCCCAAATCCCACAAAAGTTTGGCCCCTGCAGAGAGCAATGTCTTGCCTTGATTGTCATCACAGGTGTAATTCACTTGCCATGTTAAAAAGCAAACCATGCACACCAAGACCAGTCTTTCACTACCTACGTTTTAGTGCCCTTTGGCTGCTTCCCTCTCCCATGGCTCATGGAAAACTTGCTTCTTAATTTCCAAATTAATCTCAATAAATTCACTTCCCTGCATTACAACAAGCCTTTGCATTAATTACCAAGTTCTCTGTGAGCTCAGGAGTACGGGAAGGTGGCAGTGAGGCTCCCAGGCACTGCGCTGGTACCCACCATTCCCCACTGCACTGCCTTCATCTCACCGAAGCACAGGACTGACCTCCAACCAAGGTTAACAAGGAGGTTAATCCTGTCTCTGGTTGAACTTCTGCTGAGCTTTTTGCACGTCACCAGGGGGTGAAGGAGCAGATGGACATGGAGCGATGCTGCCCTCAGTCTGGCTGAGTCAGAGGGAAATGGAAAAGCTACAAGCAGTACATCATCAGTTATCACAGAATGGTTTGGGAAGGGACCTTCAAAGATCACCTAATCCAACCATGAGATATCCCAAAAGCTGACCCACAGTCCCACAAGACAGCACATAGCCTGCCCTTACAAGGCCACATGAGTTTAATGCCTCTCTAGATCATCTACTCAGACCCTTGCAGCTATGTCCAAGGTCGTGTCCTGTCCTGAGGACACCGAGGACCATTTCCAACACCTCACCCCAGTGGCACGGAGCGATGCTGGCACACAGGTGCTGCCCTGGGAACACGGCTCAGCTGACACCACAGCACCGGCAGCCCTGGCACACAGCAGCCTCAGGGAGCTGGAGGCTGGTCTGAGACAACACCAGGCATCCACCCAGCTAGGAAGGGTCAGTCATAGCAGAGAAGCTCTTGCTCATTTGTGGTGATGCATCTGTGAGGAATGGGCCCATGCGAACATCACAAAGTTCAGCCAGGTCCTGCTCCGGGGTCGGGGCAATCCCCAGTACCAGCACAGACTGGGGGATGGATAGATAGATGGATGGAGGGAAGGAAGGAATGATGGAGAGCAGCCCTGTGGAGGACTGGGGTATACTGGCAGGTGACAAACGGGATATCAGCTGGCAACGTACACTTGCAGCCCAGAAAGCCAAACATCTCCTGGGCTGCATCACCAGCAGCGTGGCCAGCAGGTCGAGGGAGGGGATGCTCCCCCTCTGCTCCGCTCTCCTCAGACCCCCCTGGAGCACTGCAACCAGCTCTGGGGTCCTCAGCACAAGATACACATGGACCTGCTAGAGTGGATCCAGAGGAGGCCACCAAAATGGTCCGAGGGCTGGGACACCTCTGCTATGGAGAAAGGCTGAGAGAGTTGGGGCTGTGCAGGCTGGAGAAGAGACGGCTCTGGGGAGACCTTACTGCGGCTGCTCAGGACTTAAAGGGGGCTTACAGGAAAGAGGGAGAGAGACTTTTGACCAGGGCCTGCACTGACAGGACAAGGGGCAACGGTTTTAAACTGAACGAGGGTGGGGTTAGCTTGGACATAGGGAAGAAATGTTGTACGATGAGGGTGGTGAGACACTGGCAGAGGTTGCCCATTGAAGCTGTGGCTGCCCCATCCCTGGA